TTTGTCTTTAGTTTCTTCCTTCAGAGTTGACTTAGCTAGGGTGATGTATGCTCATTGGCTCCTTTTATTTCTGCCCCCACTTTCTTTAGTTTAATTCCCCTTCGCCCGTTAGATGAGCAGAGATGTCATTTCTCTGGTGGATGCGGGACGACTTTCGCATTTCTTGATGTGTTTGAATAGGGGGGACTTTTTCGTATTTGTTGATGTGGTTGAACGAATAGGTGTTTTATATTATTAAATTCCCGCATTAATTTCGTCCAGTTAATTAATGTTTCTTCCACAATTAAGGATTGCGGGTTTATTTTACAAACACCATTTTATTTTTCTTATAAATAGATTATCTTATATTGTACATAGACATTAGAGGCTTAGAAGTTGTTTTTTCCTCTCCTCCCGCAGACTAGAATTGTACATATGGGAACTAGTCAGTACTTTATGGAGATTCTCAGGTATTATGTTGGATGTATTAAGTATAAGTAAGAATGTGTTGTTTTGGTGTAAAGAATATTGTAGTATGTTTGGGTCAGTGATTGTGGCTAGCTAAGTTTATTAATAAGACAGAAAAGAACCTTCCTTTCCCCATTCTCCTTTTGTTCTTGGGTCACATTTTTGTATTTTAACGCAAAATAAATATCACTCTTCGTTATGGTATATAGACTTTATGAATTTAAGCGCAGTACTAGACTGGCAACGATGTCTTATCATTTTATAGTTGAAATGGCTAGATGAAACCGTAAGTTCTATGCCAACAGTTTCTTTTCTCACACTTCCCGCTTGTGGAACTCTCTTCCACCTCTATGCTTTCCAGTCAACTTTAATCTTCAAAAATCTAAATGCAATGTCAATCATTATCTACTGTCCTCCTGATTACTCTTCTATTTTTCTCGCCTCTTAATAATGTTTCTCTTTTCTACTTCTTTCACACCCAGTAACTCCTTGTGTCTCAGTGGCTTTACTACCTTGATTGGGATGAATTCGATTAAAAAACAAACTTTTCTTTTCCTTCTAATGTCACGTGACTTGCTTCAAAAGAAACTAATGCTTTGTGTCATGCATGTTAGGTGTTGCATCAGCCAGAAATCTAATCACAATTGAAGCAAAATTATTATGTTCAGTCTCTGTGCATGAATGAACAGAGATTCAGTATCAGAAAACTGTCATACGACCTTTTTATATTTATTAAAACTTGCGAAGTAATTGCAATCTTTTGTTAAATATTCTTTTACTTAAATTAAATATATATTAAATTGTTCAATTCATGAATTAAGAATAAAGAAAAACAATTGTTTTTACCTTTACCGGACATATCTCAATATTCAGTCAGTTATGTGCCATGTGTGATACACGCTTAGGCGATCATGTATCTTTCGATACACAACTGACGAGGCAGATTTTTTTCCGCAGTACGTTGCCATTTCTTTCTGCAGTAGACCAGTTGTCATTCAAGGCAACCCGGTCTGTCCTGCTATTTACCCGGTCTATCCTGCTATTTACTCATCGCTAGGGGGAGAAGAAGAGGATTAATACTTTTTCGTAAGTGAATGTAAAAGAGCCGCTATCCATTGATTCCCCACTTCAAAATAGATAGCGGGTGAAGATTTTACCGTGTATTGGAAAGCCAAACAAAAAAGAGAATTAAAACATTATATATATATATATATATATATATATATATATATATATATATATATATATAATAAAATATAATTTTAAGGTATGCTATATTTATGAGTTAAAGTGCTCAATATCAGGAATAGAGTGTATGTAAATCTAAAAGTGGACATTGAAATCAACAGTCAAAGGCGACAGTCTGTTTCATGCCAACCGCAATCGCCAGGCCGTCTCAATTCAAAATACAAAGCTCTTCGATGAATCGAGTACTGTGAGTCATTGGTATGTTTGTTCAAAATAAATACGTAAAAATTCATCTTCCTCTCTGACGAGAGCTGATAGCTGAGGGGAAAAACCTTCGATCCTGGCTTGATGCAATCGGATATCGTCTAGCTACACTGATGAGCTGTGATACATCGAAACAGTCTGTCTGTGGATGACAATATATATATCTTCGCAGATGCGAATTGAGTCACTGGGCGTGTTTGTAAAAATAAATACGCCAAAAAATTCACTTTCATCCCTACCGTGCGCCGACGGCGTAATGGTTAGAATCTCCGACTGACACCAATTCAGTCTGGTTTCGATCCTGGCTAGAGAAAACCTGATGAGCTGCGAAACAGTTTGTCTGTGGATGACGTTATATATATATATATATATAATGAGAAAATATATGTAAAATGAGAACAAATGGAGTATAATTCCACTGTACCTAACATTTCATTTAAAAGAGGGCTAAATATTATTTATTTTAGGATATTAGAACATGTTATAAATCACTACAGAATGGCAATTATGTGTCTCCTCAGGCGATGGTAAGTAAAGAGATACATTTAAAGCTAATTGCCATTATGTTACGATTTTTTAACATGTTCCAGTATCCTAAAATAAATTATATGAATATATAAATTATATATATATATATATATATATATATATATATATATATATAATAATTGTGTATTTGGGCAGCAATCCCTCTTTTATGCAAGTTTCATTAGGTAATGTGGTTAAGTTTTCTATTTAATTTTTCATTATTTACATTATTCGGACTATTGTCCTCATCTTTGTCGCCATATAGTAATTGATGTCTGGCACGCTGCACCTTTGAGCGGATGGGCATCGCTGGTCTTCAACCATCTCCTAAATCTCTCACATGATGGCTCCAAGTTACCAAGATCCGGCAAATCGTTTCATGTGGCGGGCTAAACTCACGTGAGAAGGTGATGTTAACTCGGCACCAATGGTCGAAGGACCTTCTCGACACAGTTCACCAGCCAGGGCGGAAAGGTTCCTCAGATGAACTACAACGGCCATGTGTTCACGACCAAGGAGAGCCACCTAGTTGGGGGATATCAGCTGTGGTCTAACCTTGAGAGGGATGGGTTCCGCCAGGTTAAAACGCCACATGATGAGCGCAACAAGAAGCCATTCGCGGAAAACCGAACTCTGGCACACGAAAGCGGTGGAGTAGAATAGTGGATAGATCAGCACGTCGGCGCCCCAACGACACTCCTTACGGGATTAAGGACGAAAGAAGGACAATATATAAAATATTTGTGTGTATGTATGTACATGCGTAATTACGTATGAACTATATATATATATATATATATATATATATATATATATATATATATATATAGAATTTAGAGATTAATTTAATTCCCTCAGTACTTCATCTGTCCTTTTGTTCTTTTATTTTTCACTTTCATGGATGCCATGTTCTTTGGCAGCCTGTTTAGACCAAAGTCATCTCGAGGTTCTCGACAAAATCCCAAAACGGATATGCAATGTGATAGGTCCTGACCTGGCATCTCGACTTCAGTCACTTTCTCACAGACTTCATGTGGCTTCCCTCTGTCTCTTCTACAAATATTTTCATGCCAACTGCTTTGACGAGCTATTTTCACTGGTGCCTCGACTGCATGAATTTAAGCGTGCTACTAGGCTGGCATCTCAGTCCCACTCCTTTACTGTCAAAATGGTTAAATGTAACTGCCTCTTCTATTCCAACAGTTTCTTATCACCCACTTCCCTTCCTCTTACTTGCTTCCCTATAAACTTTAAAAATTTAAATGTAATGAGTCCATCCTTCAAACCTACAAATCTACCATTCGTCCTTGCATATATGGTCTGGTGCCCGCACTGTTCATCTCGAGGTCATCGACAAAATTCAAAGACGGATACGCAATGTGATAGGTCCTGACCTGGCATCTAAACTCCAGTCACTGACGAGCTATTTTCACTGGTGCCCCAACTGCATAAATTTAAGTATGTTGGCATCTCGGTCCCATTCTTTTACTGTCGAAACAGTTAAATGTAACCGTCTCTTCTACTCCAGCAGCTTCTTCTCTTGCACTTCCTGACAGTGGAACTCTCTTCCTCTTACTTGCTTCGCTGATAACTATAATCTTCAAAAATTTAAATCTAATCTTCTTATGCCTTGATCTTGACCCCCGTCCTTTTCTTTATCCTTTCCTTCAACAGCCCTCTTTCCTCTTACTTTCACTCTCTGTAACCTCTTGCGTGAAATACTTAAAACAAAAAGGTTTTAGGTTTCTTCTACGTGAATAGGACTTTATATTTTGAATAATAAGAATTAAATGTTAGGGGGGGCATAAGGCGTTTAAAGATGCTTAGGTGGGGGAATGACCAAAAATGGTTAGAAACCATTGTTAGATTCTTTTATTAAAGCGTCACCAGAAAATGAGATATGGAGAAAAAGAAGATAGAATGTCTAGTATTTTTATTTTTCTGTTGTTTGAATTTCATTGGTTAATCAGGTTTAACAAGTCAGACGCACGTGAAAACTGAGTAACCAATGAAATGAAAATCGAACAACGCAAAAATAAAAAATGCCAGAATTTCTGATATTTAAGTTAATGCGATTACACAGGCTCACGAAGGAAAGAGGACGCTGAAATTAAAATTTAATTAAAAAAAGTTTTAGTTATATAGACTAGCCAATTTCATTAAGTTACTTCTTTTTACCACTTTGTTATTAAATATCACACATTGCTATAACAGAACATCTGCCAAGAAAGGTGAAATGTTGTAAAAAGCTGGAATCTGATTTACTGTGGATGTTCTAGCGATTAAAGCACTTTCTATATATTTTGGTCTTAGTGTTTTGATTTCTCTTTTAATTAAAGTGGCCTTTTTTAAAATTTAAATTATATTCAGTTTCATTACAGTGGGCAACTAATGCACTGAATGTGTTATTCTGTAAGAGTTCCCTTTTGTGTTCATATAATCATTTATTCAAATTCCTTACCGTTTCTCCTTACAGTTTCTCCAATATATTCGTTGTGAAAGTGATAAAGTAAATTCTTCCTTTAAGTTTTAGTTTATTATTATTTTGTTTTGTATTAGGTTCCTGGGCTACGAACACATCACGTTGAAAGACTGGTTCGCGTACGAATCCGAAGTTAAGCAATGTCGAGCCTAGTCTGTACCTAGATAGGTGACCGCTTAGGAATACCAAGTGCTGTAAGTTTGGGTATGCAGGTGGTGTAATGGATAATGGCTCGGGATTATTAATCAGAGAGCCGAGTTCTCATTCACGTTGGTCTAGTTATATTCACTTACGCAAAACTACTCTTGGAAAACCTCTTCTTCTCCACCAGCTACGGTTTAATTAGTAAGACTTGTATCACGAAATAAAAAAAAATCTTACATTCTAAAAATATTTTCTGGCTTTAAATAACCTGCAAAGCGTTGATAAGCCGTAAAAAATGAAAGAATCAATCAATCTTGGACACCTAATAGAAGTGGGGAACGCTTCTGCTTTCCTTTTTTGAGAAAAAGTTTTGACTCTCCCCAAAGGGCATAATACAACTATCCCATTTATTAATTTTGCACCTCTAAATCCTTTGAATGATTTTTTGTCACAAACTTTTTTTAAAATTAAAATCCGCCGTTTGTTGCTGGGAGCTTTTTAGGAAATGTCTTCGGCATTGATTCTGGTCTATAGTCTAGTGTTCTATTGTCTTATTTGTCAATGTCTATGTACATCGTAACTATTTAGCACAAGTGTTTAGGGATCGTAATACATTTTGAAGGGTTCATACGTCTTGATGAAAAACGTTTTGTGACTCTAGTTTGGAAATATATAATTTTGATTTTATAATGTTTATAGGATAAACGGAACCATTATTTTCTAAGTTATCAAATAAAAGTGTCCCAATTGCTTCATATGGGAGTGATTCTTAAATAGTAGTAGATAGTATGATATATAGAGATGAAGTAAAGTTAAAATGGTTGACTATCGTCATAGTTCTTTTTGTGTTTTGATAGTTCATAAAGGGTTGTTGTGTTTCTTCTGGTTGACGGAAGTTAATTCGTTACATTCATCCTTTCTTCTTTCTCTTCTGGGGTTGTACGTCAGGTCGAACTCACAGCCGATAAATCACTAACCCTTGCATCTCGAACTGCTACCTCGAATCAAGTTCCTCTCCACTGCGGCGTCTCTAGTCTCGTACGTGGTTTTCTTCTTTTTACTGGGGCTGACACATCCGTGTTTCCCGTTTGATTTTTGGCGGGACGTGTTGTCATTGGTTGATTTTTTATGACGTTCACTGACCCACATAAAATAAGGTCCGTGTTCATGTCCGTTACCGATGGTAGGAACAGTAGAAGGAAGGAAATATATAGAAGAGAGGGAGAGAGAGAGTTTTCTTTGTCACTCACTTAGTAAAGAGGACAGTATATATTTTCGTATGGTGTTATTATTACCTAATCCTACTACAATAGGTTCACACCTCTTCCTGGTCTTTGGAACAGGAGTAGAGGTTTATCCCTTGTTTCCTGTTACGATTTGGTTTCCAGTTCCTTTTAAAGTCATCTCATTCTCATTCATTCCCAGTCGTCCCTTGCTTTTTAGTGGCATTATCGCCTTGCTTGGGGTGAACTGATTTTTTTTTAATCATGATCCTTGAAGGAGCAGCCCTCCTAAAGGTCAAATTTTTAAATAGACATCTTGAATGCATATTCAAAGAAACACCATTTTAAAAGAAAGCTAAAATAAGCGAACGTAAAAAAACAAGAACAGTTACTGAATTAAGATATAAAAAGTGACAAAATTTACGTTATCGTGAAAAAATATTTTGAATCATGGCATTTTCTATGAACAGAAGTGACCTAATTGTAATAACTTCCTATGCGCCACATCTCACGTTTATAGTAAAACAGGAACAGGTTTTACATAAACTAGCAAAATGTCAGAAAATCCTATAAGCGACAATCCCAATGATTTTATTTTTCTAGAGCCAATTACCGACAAAACACTGAACAGTAAAGATTACCAACTGTGAACGGAGCTAAGTAGTTAAAAGTCAGCCTAACACTGGTGATATTAAACTTAGACAATGGACAAGCTTTCCCAGAAATATTACAAATACTATTTCTTTATTAAGAAGGAAAAAAAGCGTTTGAATGGTGGCACTTCCACATTAAGAACTTTTCCATTTTGCCAGTGGCGTGGCTACTTTTTTTTTCCCCTCCCCAGGAGGAATACAATATTACAATGCACATTAACTCCTTAAAGTTATATATATATATATATATATATATATATATATATATATATATATATATATATATATATATATGTATATGTATATATATATATATATATATATATATATATATATATATATACAGTGACACGCATAAGTATTGGATATATGTTATTTTCTGTTATAACTCTAGTTTATGTTCGCCATTTTGCCTGATATTTGGTAAGTAATATCTCGTAAAGTTGTTTTAGTTGTATGTGGAAGGAAAATTAAAAACTCATGGTTGAATTCATTTTTTTTTATCAAAGTTCAAAATTACCCTATGCAAAAGTATTGGATACATCAATTTAATATTTTGTTGCGTAGCCTCTGTTTTGTTTCACTGCTTCCAGTCGCTTTCTATAGTTGGCCACAAGTTTTCCACACTGATCCACCGTTACTTTACCCCATTCTTCCTTGCATAATTCCTCTAATTGCTTATTATTTTGTGGATTCCGCTTATGAACTTTAACCTTTAAAGTATTCCACAAATTCTCCATTGGATTCAACTCAGGAGACTGACTTGGCCAATTGAGAGTACTAATACCATTATTTTCAAACCATTCCTTTTTAAGTTTTGCGGTATGTTTGGGATCATTGTCGTGTTGAAGCACGAAATTCCGACCATGTCCTAAAGAAGTTGCAGATTTCTGAAGGTTCTTCTCTAGAATCTCCCTGTACATGCTACCATTCATTCACAATGGATAACTTGTAACTCGCCAGTGCCCTTGGGTGAAAATCATCCCCATATCATAATGGAAGCACCCCCAAACTTAACTGTGGGAATGGCATTGTGCTTGTTGAAGGCCGTGACATTTTTCGCCAAACACTTGTCGCTGTGTTCCTTCCCAATAGTTCAACTTTCGTTTCATCCGACCAGATTACCTTTTCCCAAAACTGCATACGTTTCTTTTCATAAGTTTCGACAAACTTTAATCGGTCTTTGACATGTTTGGTTTTCAGTAAAGGCACATTTCTTGGTGATCTTGAATGAAAGCCTGTACGATATAGAGCTCTGCTAATGGTATCCTTACTTACATTAATTCCAGCACCCTCAAGATCAGTTTTAATTTCAGAACGAGTAATGAAGGGGTTTTTTGCACATTTCTGCTGATCCACCTTAAAGTACTCTCATTTATTTTTCTCGGTCTTCCATTTCTTGAAAGGTTTGCTGTACCGTCGCCATACTTCTTATACTTTATGATGATATTTCCTAGTGTACTTAGTGCTAGATTCATTTCTTTGCTAATTTTCGGTAACCTTGTCCTCCTTTGTGACGTTCAATGATTTTATCTCACATATCTCTGGATAATTCTTTAGTTTTTGTCATTTTTAATCCTTGAATTGCAGAATGCACATCAAAGAGTCAGATGATTAGTAGCACTATCTTGTAAACAATTGTGTGCTTCTCTGATTGGTCAGAGATAACATTACAATACTATCGAAAATATGAATATTTAAAGTCTTTTAAAATACAAAGTTTCGATTGGAAATTTGAAAAAAGTGTCATGTATCCAATACTTTTGCATAGGGTAATTTTGAACTTTGATAAAAAAAAATGGATTCAACAATGAGTTTTTAATTTTCCTTCCACATACAACTAAAACAACTTTACGAGATATTACTTACCAAATATCAGGCAAAATGGCGAACATAAACTAGAGTTATAACAGAAAATAACATGTATCCAATACTTATGCGTGTCACTGTATATATATATATAAAGAATCTTAACAACTTTTTACGATATTAAAAGAAAAATTTTTTGCAAAAGTTATTGAAATTATGCCATTGTTTTTTTTTCTTTTCTGAACGCCCCGCCACTACTAGCTACGCAACTGCATTTTGCTACAACCTTAGTTCAAGGTAAAGAATCTGCGTTTAACAATACATTAAGAAGAAAAACATTCAAAAGGAAAATACATCTTATTCCTAAATCTGTTGATTAAATAAATAAGGATTATTTTGCGCAACTGACATGAATTTAAGTCTATTGGAGTTGTTCAGTATTTTTTAATGCATATTACTTAAACGTCAAACTAGACCTAGTAGGGAAAAAGGCTACCTAGAGTGAGAAATGTTTAGCGAGCTGGTCTGGTTGATCTTTACTTTTGAGTAATGATTTCGAATTGTCTCATGGTGCTTCATAATTGTGGCCTTGTGTCAAACTAACCTAAGCTTAGTAGATAAAAAGTCAAAATCGGGGTAAGAAATGTTTAACGATCTGGTCTGGTTGATCTTTACAATTGAGTTATGATTTCGATCCTCTCTGAGTACTCCATATTTGTGACCTTGTGTCAAACTAAGATAAGCTCAGTAGATAAAAAGGCAACCTCGGAGAGAGAAATGTTGAGCAAGGTGATCTGGTTGATCTTTACTAATCAGTAATGATTTCGATCCTCTTAGGGTGTTCCATAGTCGTTGCCTTGTCCCAAACTAAGACAAGCTGAATAGAAAAAAAAAAGGCTACATCTGGATGAGAAATGTTTACCGAACTTGTCCAGTTAATTTTTGCTATGGAGTAATCGTTTGTAAAATGGCTCCTCTCTGAGCGCTCCATAATTGTAGCCTAGAGTCAAACTAAACTAAGCGTAGTAGATAAAAAAGGCTTCATCTGGGTAAGAAATGTTTAGAGATCTATTCTGGTTGATCTTTACTCTTTACCGTTGAGTAATGATTTCGATTCTTTCTGTGTGCTCCGTAATTATAGCCTTGTGTCAAAATAAACTAAACTTAGTAGGTAGACAGTCTTCTTCAGAGTAAGAACTGTTTAGCGAGTTGGTCTGTTTGACTTTTACTATTAAGTGATGATTTAAAACTCCTCTCTGGGTGCTCCATAACTGTGGGATTGTTTCAAAATAAACTAAGCTTAGTAGATAAAAGGCAACCTCAGGGAGAGAAATGTTTACCGAGCCGGTCTGGTTGATCTTTACAATTG